GCACGTACGTACGTACGACGTTCTACGATGTAACTGACTGATCGATACATGTATATTTCGCTTACCACGCCATGTGAGCAGCAAAAGACATTATATTAGGAAAAGTCGCAGAGCATTATAGGTAAGTAATAACAGTATCACATGTTACTTACTTACTTTCGCCTGTTACCCCCAATGGAGCATAGGCCGCCCACCAGTTTTCTCCAACCAACTCTGTCCTGGGCTTCCCTCTCCAGTTCTGTCCAATGTTTGTTCATTCCTCTCATATCTTTCTCTATTTCTCGGCGTAGTGTGTTCCTTGGCCTTCCTCTTTTCCTTTTGCCTTGCGGGTTCCATGTGAGGGCTTGTCTAGTGACGCAGTTGGGTGCTTTTCGTAGTGTATGTCCTATCCATTTCCACCGCTTCTTCCTGATTTCCTCCTCCATTGGAATCTGACTTGTTCTCTCCCACAGTTCGTTGTTGCTGATCGTGTCTGGCCAACGAATACGAAGTATTTTGCGTAGACAGCTGTTAATAAACACTTGTATCTTCTGGATGATGGCTTTGGTAGTTCTCCATGTTTCCGCTCCATACAGTAGAACTGTCTTAACATTTGTATTGAAGATCCTGATTTTGGTTTTGTTTGAAAGTTGTTTGGAGTTCCAGATATTTTTCAACTGTAGAAATGCAGCCCTTGCTTTGCCAATCCGCGCCCTCACATCTGCGTCCGATCCACCTTTCTCGTCGATGATGCTGCCAAGATATGTGAAGGTGTTAACGTCCTCCAAGGTATCTCCATCAAGCGTGATTCGGTTGGTGCATGTTGTGTTGCATCGGAGAATTTTGCTTTTTCCTTTATGTATGTTGAGACCTACTGCTGCAGAGGCTGCTGCTACACTGGTCGTCTTCTCTTGCATTTGTTGTTGAGTGTGCGATAGAAGAGCCAGGTCATCTGCGAAGTCCAGATCGTCCAGCTGCGTCCTAACTGTCCAGTCGATACCGTGCTTCCCTCCAGATGTTGACGTCTTCATAATCCAGTCGATGACCAGGAGAAAGAGAAAGGGTGAGAGTAAGCAACCTTGCCTGACACCGGTCTTCACCTCAAAAGAGTCTGTCAGCTGACCTCCGTGTACGATTTTGCAGTTGAATCCATCATAAGAATTCCGTATGATGTTGACTATTTTCTCAGGCACACCGTAGTGTCGAAGAAGCCTCCACAGTGTTTTCCTATCCACGCTATCAAATGCTTTCTCGTAGTCGATGAAGTTGATGTAGAGTGGTGAGTTCCATTCAATTGATTGTTCCACAATGATCCGTAATGTAGCAATTTGGTCAGTACACGATCGATCCTTACGAAATCCAGCCTGTTGATCTCGAAGTTGGGCGTCTACGAAGTCCTTCATTCTGTTTAACAATACTCTGTTGAAGACTTTGCCTGGTATTGAAAGAAGAGTGATGCCTCTGTAGTTCTCACACTTGCTGAGGTCGCCTTTCTTTGGTATTTTGATCAGGTATCCTTCTTTCCAATCTGATGGTACTTGTTCCTCATCCCAAATCTTCTTGAAGAGAATGTGAAATATTTTCGCAGTTGTTTCTACATCTGCTTTCATTGCCTCTGCTGGAATGTTGTCTGGTCCTGCTGCTTTGCCGCTCTTGATTTGTCTGATGGCTATACTGATCTCCTCAATCGTAGGTGCGCCAATATTAATTGGGAGGTCCGTGGATGCTGCTTCGATGTTGGGTGGGTTCAGTGGAGCTGGTCGATTCAATAGTTCCTTAAAGTGCTCCACCCACCTATTTCGCTGTTCGTCAGTGTTGCTGATTATTTTCCCTTCCTTGCTTTTCACTGGTCGTTCTGGTTTACGATAGTTTCCGGCGAGCTTCTTTGTAGTTTCGTACAATTGTCTCAAGTTTCCTTCTCTTGCAGCCTTTTCCGCCGTCATTGCTAGATAATCCACATATTTTCGTTTGTCAGCTCTGATGCTCTTCTTTACTTCCCTGTTTGCTTCTGTATACTCGGCTTGCGCCTTAACTTTCTCTGCTCTTGTTCGGCTGACATTCACTGCTGCCTTCTTGTTCCTCCTTTCTTCAATTTTTTCAAGAGTACCAACAGAGATCCATTCCTTGTGATGGTGCTTCTTGCGACCAAGGACCTCCTGACATGTTGAAGTGAGTGCCTCCTTAATCCCTTTCCAATTGTTCTCCAATGTTGCTTCCTCTCCATTGAGTAGATCGTGAAAAGCCTGGAACCTATTGGTGAGGGCTATCTTGAATTCGTTGAGTTTTACGGTATCCCGAAGAAAGGCCGTATTAAACTTCTGTGATGTTGTCTGCCCCGCTGTCCAGTGCTTCTTTAGCTTCAATCTCATTTTGGTGATCAGCAAGTGGTGATCTGAAGCTATATCAGCTCCTCTCTTGGTTCTTACATCCTCCATGGTCCTTCTGAACTTTTTGTTGATACAGATATGGTCAATTTGGTTTTGAGTAGTGTGGTCCGGTGAAATCCATGTGGCTTTGTGAATGCGTTTGTGCGGGAATATTGTGCCACCGATGACCAGTTTGTTGAAGGCACATAGGTTTGCAAATCTCTCACCATTTTCGTTCCTTTCTCCCAGTCCATGTCGTCCCATGATGTCTTCATATCCAGTGTTGTCCATTCCAACCTTGGCATTCAGGTCTCCCATAAGAATCGTCAAATCCTTTGGTGAACATTTATCGACGACTGACTGCAGCCTTTCGTAGAATTGATCTTTAACGTCGTCATTGTAGTCATTGGTAGGTGCATAACATTGGATGACGTTCATTGTAATGTTCTGTTTCTTTGTTTTGAAGGATGCTTTAATGATCCTGGGTCCATGAGATTCCCATCCTATCAGTGCCTTTTGTGCATGTTTGGACAGCATCAGTGCAACTCCTTGTGAATGTGAAGCGTTTTCCTCTTCATGACCAGAGTATAACAGCAGTTCCCCTGAAGCAAGTCTCAGTTGTCCTACCTGTGTCCAATGTGTTTCACTGATGCCGAGCACCTCGAGGTTGTATCTTTTCATTTCTGCCGCAACTTGAAATAGTCTTCCAGTCTCCCACAATGTACGAACGTTCCATGTACCTAAAAAAATGGTTGCTCTGGTTGTCAGAAGAGGCATCGGCCCCGTGACTTCCGAGGGGACTCGGCTTTCATCACGAGACGTCATAATTCTTCTTCCAACTCCCAGGGCAGAGTTAAAATGGTTTGAATTTTTTTTTCTGGTTAGCGTTTTTTTGGCAAGTTAGATTTCAACGGAATGGGGCCGCCAACCCCATGTCCAACCCTCCTCCTTTATCCGGGCTTGGGACCGGCAGTAGCCCCTAAGGTTCTACTGGCGGAGTAGTATCACATGTACTAGAAAAAATTAAACATACATAAAGAAAGGGAGAGTAGGGGGTAAAAGGTGAAAAATTATTTGAAAACTTAATATTTAAGTGTCTGTACCATTAAAAAAAATTTTTTTTAGTCATATCACCTAACATTTTCATATATTGCGTTACGATACCCACGAGGACAGAAATCTGATAGTCTGCACCTACTTGCACAACTCAGTCAGTGATCTTATAAACTGGTGCCGTATCATGATTTGGCCACTCCTAGACTTCTTTTAAACTACGCCTGAATCAAAAAACAATGTTCATCAAGTTAACGGTTGGTTATGTGTACGCAGTACATCTCTCAGTTCATAAAAACTCACACTACACATGCCAAAAAAAGGAAGTTGAGACAGGATTTGAACCTGATACTAACTGATTAGAAAGCATGTTTTGTACACTAATAAACTATGGATCCTGTTGCAACGTCGAAACATGAATGCATTCTAATGAAGCTGTAAAACATAAATACTCGTTAAAATTAAAATCGTACCGGTTAAATTCACTAAATAAACATGACTAGAACTACAAACTTGTATTTGTCGGCAGGACTATTGTAGGTTTAAACCACACCAAGCAATAGTAAATAGATAGATGGATGGGAGGTACTAGAAAATGTTCATGTAAATTCTGTATACACACATTAATAGGTTTTAACTACTACATCTTTAGTTTTTTTTAGTTTATTGAGAATTATAAATTACCAAGTAGGAAGAGTAGAATGAAGTACAGTGCCCCAGGAATACGTAACAGTAAAAACAGAATAATAGTTTTAAATGACCCGAACCGTAACAGCACATGAGACCGAATTCGTTACAATTAAATCCTTCTCACAGCCCCTAACATATCTCTTATCTCCATGACTCACCCTTTCCACACCACTTTATCGCGCTGCACTGCTAACGCAAGCGATCCGAGTTCACGAAACATTATCCCTGGTCTCCTGAAACCCCATACCAAACTACACGTTGGAGCTTTTAATATCCGGACATTGTGTCAAATAAGAAAACAGGCTTCCTTAGCCAAAACTTTAGAATCTCACACCATCGATGTATACAGGATCCGTGTAGCGTTATTCATATGACCCCACCCTACCATAAGTCAGATGATTCAGCCAGTCAGTTTACAACAACATAGAACTTCGTACGTAGGCACATCAGTTCAAGTTGCCATATCACATTAGCACAGAGATGCAATTGTCATTTCGAATCCTATGGTAGTAGAGGTAGTGAAAGTATTAGAAATTAATCGGAGAGATTAAGGTTCGGAGATATTATTCAAGTAGAATCTCGTGAAATAAACTTAAAAATATAAAAGAATGAGGTATTCAAGAAGTTAGAATTTGAGAGAATACAAAGAATAAATGCACAAGAACCATTGCGAACGGTTTGGAGCCATGTCATTCAGGGTCTCTAACCATCGATTATTATCATCTCGCAGACTCCAATCAGGTAGTCGATAGCTACCAACATGACTCAATCCAGTAGTCAGTGACTTTTATGGATTTCTGCCATGTTCTTATTTGGAGTCAGATGATTGAACATACATGAAAAAAAGTGAGAATATTCATTGAAAAATGAAATCAGAGTTTTATAATCAAAGAAAAAAACGATTCGACATACTCGTTGAATCATCTTCTCTATACGTCCTTGCATTCCCCACATTTTGAATTCACAAGAAACAAGTTTGTATGCACACATAATTGGTCCTTTGTAATCATTCTGTAAATCAAAAGTAGAATGAAGCAATCAAAATCGAAATTCGACGTATCAGTAAATGAAAAACTATATATATATATATATATTTGGATAAAGATCATGATCATTATCTTACTTGAAAGTGACTGATGGATGGAAGTAGACCATCAAGGTCTATTGATTTCACTTAACAAGTTTCATCTTGTTCATGAGATATGAGATAGATAAATGAGAGCAGAATAAGTTATTGGTTTGTATTTTGAACCATACATAATAACAAAATGCTAGCAATAAACTATCAGCCTTAGAATTTAAAGTAAAACAATCTTTCACAATGTCTAGTTAAGGCTGCTGTCAGCATATTTTTTTCTGGGGAATACTCCTGTCGAATGTTACAACTCTAAGAGGGACTTGTTGACACATATTACTTAAAAAGTTAAAGTTAAATTTTAACTCGGTTGCATAACATATCAGCTCATTGTGAAAAATTAGAACAACATATATAAGCGATCAATAGTGTTGTTTTCGATTAGATCGTCATCAGGCTTTACACTTTAATATTGAAGCTTATAACTTAGACAAACATAAGAAGTGAATGCATCTATGCCACACTCTGTGACAGATCGTTATTTTCTATCGTCTAGATTCTCTAACCAGTGAGAGCTTATGGCGAACTGTTATCGTAATACATTACTACAAGCGGTGTCCGTCAGGGCTGTCCACTCTCTCCATTCTTGTTTAATTTTATAAAAGACATGCTCCTAGATATAACCTTATCCACGTCTAAATTTTCAGGAGGCTCGCTTATTGACTTAGAATTTGCCGATGACATAGTCCGATTTGGTGAAGACACTGACAAAATGCAGAGTATTCTGACCACCCTGAGCAACAATGCAAGCATATTCAAGGTGCGGTTCTCGCCCTCGAAATGCGAAATGTTGCTTGAAGATTGGGTTGCATCTGCACCTGAACTAGTGATAGGGAGTGAAGTAGTCGAACGTGTAGACCGCCTCACTTATCTTGGGAGTCTCATCAGTGCCGATGGCCTGGTGAATGACGAAATCTCAGCGCGGATACAAAAGGCTCGATTGGCTTTTGCCAACCTGCGTCACTTATGGCGTAGGCGAGATATCCGTTTGCTGACTAAAGGGCGAGTGTACTGCGCAGTAGTTCGCTCCGTCTTACGTTATGGCTGTGAAACGTGGCCAGTGAGAGTAGAAGATATTCGTAAGTTACTGGTTTTCGATCATAGGTGTCTTCGAAGCATTGCTCGTATATCATGGAACATAGGAGTGAGCAAGGCTGTTATTAGGAATCGGGTGCTAGGTAAGGATGGCAGGTCAATAGATGAAGTGCTGAAACGTCATGTTGGTTGCGACATGTGCTGCGTATGCCTAACCACCGACTGCGTCGTCGAGCTATACTCTGTGATGTAAGAATAGCCTGGACGAAGGCTAGGGGCAGCCAAACCAAAACATGGCAGAAATCCATGAGGTCATTGACAAGTGGACTGAGCCATGTCAGTAGTTGTCGACTACTTGGTTGGGGTCCGCGAGATGATAGTAATCGATTGTTAGGGACCCTGAATGACATAGCTCAAAATCGTTTGCAATGGCGCCGGTGCATTTATTCTTTGTTTTCTCTCAAATCCTAATCTTATGGATTTTTTAACCCCTCTAGTTTTGACTTTCTAAACTTTTCTCACTGAATTATACTTCTTGAATAATATCTTCTAATCCTAACCTCTCCGATTACTTCTAATACCTTTACTACCTCTACTACTATTGGATTCGAATTGACAATTATATCTCTGTGCTGATGTGGTATGGCAACATGAACTGTTGTACTTACGTACAAAGTTCTGCGTTTCACCTGATTGACTTTAACCAATGATTGTGGTCATCTCACACGGAACCCAAGCACATGGCTTAGTTTAACACAGTCCAAAGATTTCACAGGCTAATGCTAAAATCTTGATTTGATCACTTGAAAACAAGTTACATTCATGTCCAATGTTGTTTACAAAAAAAATTCTAAACAGCAAAGCGATCCATATATATCAATATGCAAACACATGGTGTGGTGCGCGCTACTTATAAGTAGTATATGACGCGAGTGAAAACAAAATGTCTGGCAGCAGAAGATGGGGGAAGATCAAGAAAGGAAGAGTGGGAACACAATGGAATTTGTATGAAACGCATGAATAAGTGAAATGTCAGACAATGGATTGGAGATTTGTAAATTAACCGTTTACGATATGGTTTTCCTATTTTACCGATTAACTCTATAATTTTCGTTAAATACAATTCGGTTGCCCTCACCTGTGTTCTCCTTCACTACAATAGTTGTATCACATCTTAGCCAAAACTGTCTGTCGTTTTTTTTCTTTGATATGCATCAAAAGCCCCGGCAAATTGTATAACTCCATTGTGATTGAAACATAACAATAATTACTATAATCTTTATAGTGATATTTTATTTCACTCATCATTAATTTAGAGTTCATTTAGTAAAGTAATCTATTATTATTATTATTATTATTATTATTATTATTATTATTATTATTACTATTATTATTAACCAATTAGAAAGTGAATATTGATAGCGAAAATTTGTTAAACTAGTGTAACACATCATCATTATCATCACATGACCTTGAGATATCTTTTCTCAGTTTGACCTAACTACGATTAAAACATAACAACAACAACATTTGACATTGAATACACTAAATAATATGAATTCATTTCAAAGAGAAAAAAACAAATGGACATGTTAGGAATTATAGTCATTCATATTTATAATATAATCATTGATTCTCACAATAGTTCAAAGATATATATCTATATATATATTAGTTATAACTAAAGATAATCATAAACTTGATAATATGCATTTTAGAATGAAGAATTTTTGTGTTTCATTGTTTAAATTTAACTGATAACACAGAGATAGCAATGAAAAAAAGTTCAGATGTTGTTTTGTTAAAAATTATGCACTGAAAAAACAATTACTCATATGAATATAATGAAAAGTGGAAATATTCTAACTCTCACACACACACACACATGGAGAGAGAGAGATGTATTCAGTCAATATTACAATGTAAAGCTTGGCAAAGATGTGCGCATTCACCCAAATTGTCGTACGGACATTATCCAGATGAATTGCAAAACAGATCGGAAATGACTGAATAATGATAATAATAAATGAGAAAGATATCTACGACTTAAAATCTACAGGATGATAAAAAAGAACAATGAATGTAGGGCGATGTTATTTGAATTCTTCAATCACTGATTGCTTGTTGCTGTATGTACAACATAAGGTTGATTCAGTCAGTCAGTCAGATGCAACGTAGAACTTCGTACATAAGTACATCAGTTCATGTTGCCATACCACATCATTATCACAGAGATGTAATTGTCAATTCAAATCCAATAGTAGAAGAGGTAGTAAAGGTAGTAGAAGTAGTCGGAGAGGTTAGGATTAGAAGATATTATTCAGGAAGTATGATTCAGTGAGATAAGTTTAGAAAGTTGAAGAATCCAGAAGATTAGGATTTCAAAGAACACAAAGAATGCACTGGCGCGATTGCGAACGATTTTGAGCCATGTCATTCAAGGTCTCTAATCATCGATTATTGTCATCTCGCGGATCCCAACCAGGTAGTCGAAAATTACCGACATGGGTAAGTTCATTCATCAATGATTCCATGGATTTCTGCCATCTTTTGGTTTGGCCGCTCCTAGCTTTCGTCCAACCTACTCCTACACTACAAAACAAAGCTCTTCGAGGTAGTCGGTGGTTAAGCATACGCAACACATGTCCCAACCACCTCAACTGATGAAGTTTCAATACTTGATCTATTGATCTGCCATTCTTACCTACCACCCATTTCCTAATAACAGCGTTGCTCACTCGGGTGTCCCAGGATATACGAGCAATGCTTCGAAGACACCTATGATCGAAAACCAGTAACTTACGAATATCTTCTACTCTCACTGGCTATGTTTTACAGCCATAAAGTAAGACGGAGCGAACCACTGCACAGTACACTCGTCTTTTAGTCAGCAAACGGATATCTCGCCTACGCCATAAGTGACGCAGGTTGGCAAAAGCCAATCGAGCCTTCTGTATCCGAGCTGAGATTTCGTCAGTCACCAGGCCATCGGCACTGATGAGATCCCCGAGATAAGTGAAGCGGTCCACACGTTCGACTGCTTCACTCCCTATCACTAGTTACATAAGGTTGATTGTGTAACTTAGAATATATTTAGTTTGAAAGTAAGCACAACAAGCGATACTTTAACAGGAAAAAATAGATTTCATGCATTACACTTGCTTTACCCATTTGATTTTCGATAACTGGTTAGTGCTATATTGCTTCTAAAATATCTAAAGTTTAGCTAACTATCAAATATACAGAAACCTGATTAGTGGGTTTTAATTCCTATTCGTTAAGCACAATTCATATGATTACAATTAAATAAGCTCCGAACGACTGAGACTATATAATCCTACATAAATTAACTAGTGACTAGCTTCATGAGGAAATTCTAGTTCTAGTACGAAGACGTGACCAGTGGAGTTCAACCATGTCGGGTGTAGGCAATAATTACCTAAGACAAATGGGTGAGGTCACGCAAAATCCCTAGATCAGTCAGAGTTAGACATTAACACCGTTGGATGCCGGCCCAGTATTCCGATGGTTAGGCGTTCGCGCACAATACCGAAAGTCCCGGGTTCGAATCCTGCGAGATGCAGGAGTCATGAATGCGATGAGTCCCATACCAAGACGAAACGGCCGTCCAGTTCGTCCAGGTTTCTAATGGTGGTCTAACAATGACTGATTGTTGATTTCAAATGTGTAAAAACGCTTATCTCCATAACTTTAATCAAAAATAACCTGATTCCATATCAAGGGAAAGACACGTTATCCTTTCTGACATGAATTCCTTGGTCACAACAAATGTACCTTTAACAAAGACTATTGATATTTTATGTGACTATATATCTTTGAACAACCTCACACTACCTATCACTTTCACTATTCTTAAAGATTTGTTACTATTAGGCAGTGGCAAGGTTTAATTTACTTTTGAAGGTGAACACTTTCGCCAGAGCGATAGATAGTTAGTCTATTAGGATCATTATTAATTGACGTATTTACGGTGAATGTTGAAAATATAGCTGAAGACAACATGACTGGAAATATATCCTTTTATTAAAAAAATATATGGATGACATGTGAATTGTTCATTGAATAAACAACCTTAAACACTTCATAACCATATGAGTTTTTCATGTGAAGAAAAGAACAACCGGTTTTTCTTTCTTAAGTAGACTTAAATAGACTTAAAGACCACCAATGGAGATAATTCAATCAAATGATCTATTTTTAGAAAACCAATTTGAACAGACCAGTCAGTATCTTAGTCAATATAGTTATTGATCAATTTGATGACAGTTCTGCTTATAATAGAATCGATCAAGTTTTGTACAAACGATGCTGCTTGAAAACAACGTGAATTTGTTAAATAAAATATTGACAGGTAATTATTACCATTCAAGATTCATAAATCGATGGAACTGTCACAGTATATCTTGCAAATCATAAGCCTGTCCACATATCATCCTACCTTTCAGATGTAAGTCAAATAACCTCATATTGGAACAAAAGCTCAAATCTGTCATTAGTACAACGTACTGTGGAGCAAAGGTCATGCATACTTCACTGAAAACTTAAAACGCAAGTAAACGATTGTATCATCACATTTCACTGCGCTTATCAATTTAAATGTGTAGGTGACCAGATACACAGGAAAGAGTAATAGTGATGTGTAAATGAAGGTGTCTAATCATGTACTAAAATGGTGATAAAAAAAGCAAATCAAATCAAATCACCCGCATAATCTCCACCTTTCTCTTTCTAAATTTATCTCACTGAACTATACTTCTCGAATAATATCTTCGCTACCTAATCTTCTCCATTACCAGTAATATTTCTACTATCGCTATCACTCTTGGATTTGAACTGATAGTTGCGTCTCTGTGCTAATGTGGTATAGCAACCTGCACTGATGTACGTACGTACGAAGTTCTGCGTTGTATCTGTCTGTCTGTCTATAAAAAAACGATAAACATTCCATCGCTCTCTATTTATTGTCCAAGGGTGTATAATACTAAAGTTTTCTGATGCCTTAGCTACTCGGGAACTTAAACTTCCTTGTCGTATTCAAAAAAGTTGGTCTCACCGTAAACTTACCTTGGTAATATTGTTTTATTATCCAGTGTGGTGAGTATCACATTATTTTCTTGATTATTTTGGCATACATTTCTACCTATCAAGTTGACCCTATATACATATATTTTTTTATTATAGATAAATGCTTTGAACAACGGGTGCTAGGTAAGAATGGCAGATCAATAGATGAAGTAATGAAACTTCATCAGTTGAGGTAGTTGGAACATGTGCTGCGTATGCCTAACCACCGACTGCCTCGACGAGCTTTGTTTTGTAGTGTAGGAATAGGTTGGAAGAAAGCTAGGGGTGACCAAACCAAAACATGGCAGAAATCCATGAAGTCATTGACTAGTGGACTGAGTCATGTCGGTAGTTGTCAACAACCCGGTTGGGGTCCGCGAGATGATAATAATCGATGGTGAGATACCCTGAATGACATGACTCAAAATCGTTTGCAATGGCGCCGATGCAGTTATTCTTTGTGTTCTCTCAAATCTTAGTTTTCTGGGTTCTTCAACACCTCTAGTTTTGACTTTCTAAACTTTTCTCACTGACTCATACTTCTTGAATAATATCTTCTAATCCTAACCTCTCCGATTACTTCTAATACCTTAACTACCTCTACTACAATGGGATTTCATTTGACAATTACATTTCTGTGCTAATGTGGTATGGCAACATGAACTGATGTACTTACGTACAAAGTTCTACGTTGCATCTGACTGAATGACTGATGCTAATATATCACATATAGTTTTGATAATTTCTGTCTCATTAGACTAGTCGAATCTACAAAAGACAGTAATTACTTTCAAAATTCTATAATGCTTTTATATCTGTTTCAAGTGGATGCTAGTGAAGTAGAACTAATCGAAAGATAAACTATATATATATATATATATATATATATATGCATTACGGGGTTGTGAAGATTGTTAAGTTACACATTTCTGAATCCATGACTCGATCAATGCTATACGACCATTAGAAACCTGGAAGCACTGGACGGCCGTTTCGTCCTGGTATGGGACCCATCAGCCTCGCAGGTTAGGCGTCCTGCGGGGTGCGGGAGCCGTGGATGCGCACTGCTGATGAGTCCCATACCAGGACGAAACGGCCGTCCAGTGCTTCCAGGTTTCTACTGGTCGTCTAACATTGACCGATTCATAGTTCCAAAAGTGTATATATATATACATATACCGCGATAATACAGAGGTGACTTAATGAGTAAGTAATTAATCACAAAGCACTACTGAGTCAAAAACCTGAACTTAGCTTTGGTTCTAACTGTTAGATAGAAAGAAGTACCATTAGCTAGCTCTTACACAATAAGCTTAGACTTATGTATTGAGTAACTGAGTTACGCTAAATTTTCATCTTCCTAGGTAGTATAAGCAAAGAATAGTATTTTATTGACTACAAATTGGTTGTATCCAACAGAGTTGTAAAAAAGGAATGTGATTGTCGAAGGAAACATGATCAAACAACTTATGATACTATGATAGTATCTTTAACCTTAGCCTTGTCTACTTGCATCGTTACAAAATGGTAGTTTAGTTGGAAATACCACCCAAAGATAGAACATCTCATAGTTGAAGAACAATGGGTAAATGTTACACGTTACGTCACAGCGTGTATATAACACAAAAGAAACTAAGATAGAATTTAGGTGAAAAAACAAACAAATTAATCTATCTATCTATCTATCTATCTATCTATCTATCTATATATATATATATATATATATATATATATATATATATATATTACCTCCCACCATTTTGGTTTTAAAGGACCACGACCAGTCTTTTCAGATTGAAATGTTGTCGGATCTTCAGTTGGATTGTAATCTTTGTCTGATGGAGAAATATCACCAATATCAATATAGATCACTTCCACTTCCGCCCATTTTTCTGGACTTAACTGATGTGCCTAGTAACCGAAAAAACATGGAAATTAATGTAAACAACGAAAAATTCAATATAGGATTCGAAAAATCATCAAAATTTGTGAGAAACCAGTCAGTCAGTTACAACGTAGAACTTCGTACGTCAGTAAAAAGGCGAAAGATTTATCCGCAAATGAGGAGACACCAGAGTTAGTCCCGACCGTAGCTGCTACCTTGACGTGGTGGTCGGGCTTGCCTATCGTGATGACCCAACCGAGCTATACTGGCTGGAACATATGTTCCTGCAGGTCCTACCATGCCAGGCAGGTCGATTGGAGAACGATGAGACTAAAAGCAGCTACTCAAGGTCTGAGGGCGAAGTCGTACTGCTGACTGCAGAGGGGTGTGACAGCAGTAAGGTGTTTCCCTCGGACAACCAGCATCTGCAGCGATGCTGCCTTCTCACAAGGAAGGAAGGGCTAGAAAAGGTCGGCCCTAAAAATGTCACACCTCCCCTAACTCACGGATTTCCGTCTCCTTGGGTAAGGGTGCCCACTAAGGGCCTTTAAGAACGGAGCTAATCCTCTAAATACCTCTCATAAAAAGGCCGTGCGTGACCGGCCTCAAGCAGTTGTCCCTTGGGCTCTGCGGTCACGCACCAACACTAATCCATCTTCCTTTTCAGGTCCCTCAAGAAACAACCTTCCACGGTGTGGGCAGCCGGGAAGTGACAACCGCCCTCATACCCGTAACAGCACGCGAGACCGAATTGGTCAAAATCAAATCCTTCCTCGTACGTCAGTACATAAGTTTAGGTTGTCGTACCACATTAGCACAAAGATGCAAATGTCATTTCCAATCATATAATAGTAAAGGTAGTAGAAGTATTAATGATAATAGAGAAGATTAGGATTCGAAGATATGATTCAAGAAATATAATTCAGTATTGCGAACGACTTTGAGCCATGTCGTTCAAGGTCTCTAACTATCGGTCACTTACATCTCATGGACCCCAACTAGGGAGTTTACACCTAACATGACTCAGTTCACTTGTCAGTGACTTTATGGATTTCTACCATCTTTTGGTTCGGTCGCCCCTACCTTTCTTCCAACCTACTCCTACACCACAAGACATCACTCGTCGAAGCAGTCGGCGATTGGGCATTCGTTACACATGTCCCAACCACCTCAACTGATGAAGTTTCAATACTTCATCCCAACCTAGTACTCGTTTCCTAACGACAGCATTGTTTACTTGGTTGTCCCACGATAAACGAGCAATGTTTCGGAGACATCTATGATCGAATAATAGCAACCTATGAATATCGTCCACTTTTAACGGCCATGTTTTAAAGCCATAAAGTAGGGAGGTGCGAACTGCTGCACAGACGGATAGCTCGCCTACACCGTCAGTGACGCAGGTTGGCAAAAGCCAATCGATCCTTCTGTATCCGTGCTGAGATTTCGTCATTCACCAGGCCATCGGCACTCAAGAGACTCCCGAGATGAGTGAAGTGGTCGATACGCTTGACTACTTCACTCTCTATCACTAGTTCAGGTGCCGTTGCAGGTTAATCCTGAAGTAGTGTTCGAGTAGATAGCTTGTATAAGGTTAGTGCATTTCTTTGATACACTGAACCTCACGAATGCCACTTTAAGGTCGAGAAATACTATTATTGTGGGGCGACTGAACGTGTGTCTATGTTCTAGGACATGACGTAGTATGAATATTTGGTCTATACATCCACATCCAGGTCGAAAACCAGCGTGGTTTTCTCGAGTCTATACATCACGAACTCTACTTAGGCCTCAAAGTATAATCGAGGCTAACAAATAGAAGCTATAGAAGTTAGACTTATTCACCTGTGATTGTCACAAGAGGACTTCTGTCCTTTCTTATAAATTGGGACAATCAGCGATTGAGACCAGTCAGATGGGATTATTCCCAGTACCCGAACTCTACCTAAGATCTCAGTCAATCTTACTGCTAAAACTGGACCACCATCCTTAAACATCTCATGAGTAAGCCATCAGGACCCACTGCTCTCCTTCGCTTCAGATTTCCCATAGCTTTCTCAACTTCATACAGATTCGGAGGATTTATATCGATTTGCCATTCGAGAAGACTGGAGATCGTGGGCAATCGAAGTGTGGCTGAAGGCCAGTTGAACTGATCCCTAAAGTGTTCTGCCCATCGATCCAATCTCTTGGGTTGAGAATCGATAATAAGCCAATCCTTTCCCGAAACAGTCTCACTTACAGTAGGATTCCTAATACCGGTTTCCTTGATAAGTCGGTACAACTGTCTGTTGTTGCCTATCTCCGATGCCTTTTCCATCGCTTTTGCTTTCACCACCCACCACTGTTTGAGATCAATGCATACGCTTCTTATCAGCCTGTGACTAAGCTGACTTTGCTCTTCATTATGTTCAGAGTCAGGTGGGATGAGTTTACGAGCGTCTGTCAGTTCGGTGGGTGCCACTGAGATCCACGGCTTCTTCCTAGCCCTATTGTTTACCTTGCTGGAAGGTATCTCTGCTGCTTCTACACCCTTTTTAATGCTATTCCAAGCTGCCTCCGGATGGGAATCACCTTCACGGCTGCCCAACTGCTTTCCTAGTTGTTCCTGATTTGTATTTTTAGCTGTGCTATCATAAAGCAGAACTCTAAGAGGTTTTCTTGCGGTTTCTTTCCTACGTCCAGTTATTCGCAAACAAATACGCACTCGCACTAGGGCATGATCTGAGTATAGACATGTGCAGCAGAATGAGCGACAGTCCTCTATCGAACCCTTCCATCGGTGGCTGATAGCAATGTGATCTAGTTCAGTTCAGCAACTTTGGGAGTCAGTAGGTCAAGAGATGTTTTTCCTCATGCTCAAAGTTAGTGTTATGGGCGGTTATCCGAGCATAGTTGCAGCAGACGGTCGCCATTATGTTTTATTAACCACGACACCCAGGTGTCTTTCCTTTTCACCTAGTCTACGTACTTGAGCATTAAAGTCACCAGCCATTATTACTATATCAGAGCGCCGAAAGCTTTCTGTAAAACTCATATTTCACCTCGTCTGAACTACAGTCAGTGAGAGCGTAGGTAGATACGACGAAGAGGCAACGGCGAGTGTCCCTATCTTTCCGAGTCCTTACTGTCCCGTTCAGTCGGACAGCGCACAGGCGACTATCTACTGGGATCCAGTCTGGAAGAGCTAGTTTTGCCCTAAGACTCAATGCTATACGATTTCACCCTCAGACCTTGAGTAACCACAAATTTCGATCTTGAAAAGTTTTAATATCAAACAGCATTTTTTTCACCACAGAAATGTGGGAGAACACTAACATAAAGTGGTTTGCTTCGGTAGGGACTTCTCATTCACTAATTCTTAAGATGTGATAAAATAAACTACTTTCTTGTTTGAAAGTGACATAATTTCGGTAATCATATTTTTCACTACGGTTAGGAAATAATGACAGAATTAAAGAAGAGAGAGATCAGAACAGTATGGTCATTTTCATCTGTATATTTGTAGAGACTGGTTTTCAATTTTGAAGCTTTCTACAATCCTTAAGCATTGATAAATAATACAATACCACTAGCAGATAATAAAATGTGTCAAAGCTTCATCATACTGTAATGCGAATCTATTGTCAGTTCTATAAATGATAAATTACTTATCCGGTATTAAATGTTTTTGAACTATAGACTTAGGAATGATCAGATATGGACAAGTAAACGTGGACAGAAAAATTCACGACAATTCAACAGTTAGTGATACTATGAGTAAGTTTATCCAGGCAGATGCAGACTAGAAATTCAGTGGTATATTCAACAGCTCAATTGAGAGAACAGAATACAAATGCTCAGTACTTTGACCGTGTTAGTGCATATGGATAATCGATCTAGAGGAGTTGCAAACCTCTCATTCCGAACCTATGGTGCATATAGACTCCACGATCATGATGGAACGAATCGTGTACGAACCTGTTCTTAGTCATTTGCTAAGGGAATGATAAGCTAAAACCAACCGCCTCGGTTTGCACAGTCAGGCAGTATTCTGGTCTCCTCACAAATTCAATGATTTTTGTAACTCATTAATATTTGGGTGCCTCTTTATGCTAATGTTTATGTATTTAGATAAAACAAATAAGTAACTAGTAACTCTGACCTACTTTTCTATTAATTTGTGCGTGGTTACGTAATTAAATAAATAATAAATGACCAAGAATTTTAATGAACATTAGTGTAAGAATGCGTTTAACATAATTTTTGTGGGTAGAAGGCGTAAGAGTCAAATAAAGATTAAAAAGAGGTAGGTGTGAATAGTGGGGTGAATAGAGGGGGCAACGCAAGCTTTTTAGAGTAAAGTTTCACTACACGATTATGAGAAAATAAAGGTTATAAAATATCGCCAAGAGGTAGGAATATTTTCTGGACAGACTCTTAATGATACACGATTTAGTAACTTACATTTTCGATGTTTATTAATGAGTCCACGTGAAGAGATTCAATAGTTACACTAAACTTCTCCATCATGTAATTGTTCTGTGGATTTTATAGCATTTGAATTTTTGTACTCACTGTGATAACAGTTCGGCAATATGGATAAGCATTCCACGCATATTCGTTGAAAACGAATGCACTTTCAGGAGCAATAACACGGACAAACCCAGGTACCTTGTGAGCAAGATGATAGTATTTATGGGTATATTGTCCAGTAGTGAACCTTGGGTCGCCTTTTAATAAAGGGCGATCAGGCTTATACGTAGTTTGGTCGAATGGCTCGTTAACCAGTATTTGTACACCATCTCCACCGCCTGTCTCTCCTTTGGAAGCTTCAGCAACTGAATACAACTGACCGACCTGATATTCCTCAACTGTCATAGGTAAAATTACACGACTATCGTAAGAGTAAATAATGTGTGATCATTGAAAATATCATAGAGGTATAGAAAAAACTAAGAAGTCAACTCACTATTCTTTGACAATCATGTTAACTGAAAAAGATTCAAATGATGCGGTGTAACGTACTTCTTTGAAGTTGTCGAAAACGTTAACAGTACCGACTGTACAAGAATAAGCTATTCCCAGAAGAGTGGTGCGAAAAAACTAATAGGATGTTTCGAAATCTATGTGTTAAAGTAATTTTGAAAGTTTTTATTTGCTTCCGATGTACGACATTTAAAAAACTGTGTGTCATTACTTAACGTTAAACTTCATACATATTGCTTATACAGAAAGCTACCATTTCGTGGTATTCGTTCACTGGCAAGCTTCTGTTTGTGCTTAGTATTCTGTTAAACGCATCAATCTAAAGTGAGAACATTAGTTCTTCCGGCAGCAGATTCCATGTGTTGATTACTCTGGAGATTTGGGAGGAAGCGTTTACCACATTACAGTGTACCTCAGAAGGTAGTCAATACCATACAGAATTCTTATGATGGATTAAACTGCCAAATCGTGCAAAGAGGAAAGCTCACGGACTCGTTCGAAGGGAAGTTCGGTGCTAGGCAAGGTTGCTCACTCTCTCCTAGTGATCCATTGGATTATGGAGATGCCAACATCAGAAGGGAAGGTACGGATCAGCAAAGCGAGGTCAGTATTTCTGCAAATGAACAACATCTGGAAACTAAAACAACTACCAACAAATATCGAAGTCAGAGTTTTCAATACAAATGAAAAGAAAGTTCTCTTGTATGAGTTTGAAACTTGGAAAACTACCAAAGCCACCAATCAGAAGATACATGTGTTTATTAACAGTTGTCTTCGCAAAATACTATCAGCAACAACCTACTGTGAGAGAACAAGCCAGATTCCAGCGTAGGAATATATCAGGAAGAAGCTCTGAGAGTAGACATGACATACTTTGAGGAAGGCACCCAACTGCGTCACAAGGCAAGTGCCCACTTGGAATTCCCAAGGCCAAAGTAAAAGAGGTAGACCAAACACACATTACACCGAGAAATGGAGACAGACATGAAAATTATAGACAAAAATTGGATAGAAGTGAGAAGGAAGGCAAAGGACAAAAAGGTTGAAAAATTTTGGTTGTCATCCTCTTGTGAAATGTGGTCAGAGGCGTATGTATGTTATCAGGGTATCAGTAGAGTCCGGGACGCTCATTCCATCACAGTTTATATGTTTTGTAGCTTTCTATACGGAGACGAAATCTGAAAGTCTGACCGAGTTATTTGAGCGCAGTGCGCTATAAATTTATTTGTATCTACGAAAACAGATTTTTCCATTCTGCTTGTTTTTTTTACTGGGGAAATCTGAACACCGATTGATCAGATTTTTCCATCGCTTCTAAGTAGTTTATGTATATTGGTCCTAAAGATAATGCTGAAATCATACTCATTGAAAGTTTCTTCAAAAAATGGAATATCTATAGAAAAATTTATTACTCTCTGTAATATAGACCTCACTTCCTCTGAATTAGTAACCCACTTTTTTAAGTTAAATCCTCCTCTTCGTAACAACTCACTTATCTGAATGACAAACTTCCTTGCTTGGTCAAAATTTGAAAAGGATATCAGGAAGTCATCGACGTAAAAGTTGTTCTTGACCGCATCCACAACATAACGTTCATAATCACTCGAGAAGCTTTGGGCTGTTTTATTCACAGCAAAGTTCGCACAAAACGGGGATGAGGTGGCTCCAAATGGATGAGAGGTCATCTGAAATTCAGAAGGTTCTTCAGATGTGTTCCCACTTTCCCACCAAAGAGACCTTAGCGCTCCTCGGTCACTTTCGGGTACCTTCACTAGCATAAACATTTCTTCAACATCTGCCGATACCGCTACTGCCTTCCTGCGAAAACGCAATAGTATGCTTACCAGATCAGCGGTGCTGTCCGGCCCTTGATAGATCATATCGTTTAAGGAGATCCCAGCAAACTTAGCAGCACAGTCCGGGACCACTCTCAACATATCTGGTTTTTTGGGGTTCAACACGGGATGGTGAGGTAAATACCACCGGGGACGATATTACGACTCCAAATGCAACTCAGGTACCCTTTGCGCATAGCCCTTAGAGACGTTATCTTCCATACATAACTGACACGCAAACTATCGTCTCTCATCAATCTTCGCTTCAAACTCTGTAGCCAATTACTAGCTACCTCATAATTAGCCCGTTTCGTAAAGGGGTTCTGTTTCCACGGTATCGGAAGTACAAAATAGCCGTCGACGAAGTGTATACCTCTCTCCACAATCTTGTCACTAGAATAGACATCAGAAAACTCCCCATCATACAACTTACGTATCTGGTCCTCCAAAACTTGCATGCTACTAATATGATTAACAACTCTTTTTCTATATTCCGGGTATGATGTAGGTTCAAATACAGTCCATCCTAGTAGTGTTTTTACCGCATACGGTGCCTTCCTTCCGCCTAGCCGCCGCTCTAACACCCAATGTGTTTCTGGTACGTCACAACCAATGAGCTTTAAAACGTCTTCAGAGTATAGGCTTACAACTGGTACATCATTTAAGTGCGGCCACTTATTTAGATTCTTCATTGCTGACATCGTGGGCTTATGTCTTGGTAGGCTAGAAACGATCATCTCCCCTTCGATCACAATATGTTCCGACTGATTTAAAGAATGCACCTCAGAAGTGGTGTTCGTACTCCCTGCCGTTTTGTCACCACCTACAGTCTTCACCACAACTAACTCATAGTCTTCCGGCAACCTAAGCACAAGTTGGCGTTATCAATGTAGAATCGGAACCGTTATCCAAAAGAGCATATCCTATGATCTCGGCTTTTCCCTATCTCACACGTACTGGGATCAGTCCTAAACATACCTGACTGCTTAGTGACCTAGTAAGTCCGCAACAGTGCTGTGAATCACGTCAATCATCCAACATTTTGGTGGTCGAGTCCTCATGCAGCAAAACATGATGTTTTCTCTCGCATTTATCAACACTACAACGCATTGTCGTTTTACAGCCACTAGCCTTATGCCCTTGCTTCAGATAGATGAAACACATCGCCTTTTTTCTGACTTGATTCCATCTGTCTTGAACGGTAAGCTCTAAAAATTGGGTGCATTTAGTAACCATGTGATCGCCAGTACAACTGCTACAATTAAGTCTTATGGTCGATATGTTTGCAGGTTTCGATTGAAGGTGGCAGCTCATCTTCACGTCTCGCCCTACTTTCAGTCGATTGACCAGCCTACCGAATCTGCTACTAGCTATTCTAGCTCGAGCTAATACAATAACTCAGTAAGTTCAGTGAACATCGGCTCCCTATCTTCTTCAATCCATCTTACGGATAGTTTCACGCATTGAACTTGCATGGACCGCAGTAAAATCCTAACTATTCGCTCCAAAGTTACAAGGGAATTTAGTTCCGCTGTGCAATTTAGTTGTTCCAGAGTCAGGGCCACGTTCTGCATCTTAATTGACAAATTCGACAATTGCTCTGGATCATTATAATCAGCACCCCCAGATCTAAACAAGTCATCCAAGGTCTCTCGAGCGATTACGTGCGATTTTCTGAAAAGCTGCTTTAGAATCACCTTAGCCCTTTTATATCCTGCGTAAGGTTCCATTATAAGACATCCCTCAATTGCAGCTCTCGCCTTTCCCTTGCAATAGTGGATTAAGTACAATAAGCGCAGATTGCCATCAATAACTCTAGGTTCTATTAATGTATCGAATTGTTTTACAAACCTAAAGTAATCGCGGTGTCTGCCGTCAAAGAAAGGAAGTTCTAACTTTGGCAACTCCAAGCTAACTACCGGTGTCCTAGGCCTCAAATCCTTCCCAGATACCTCTAAGTCCTCGTCCAAACTTCGTTCCTTAGTACCCTCTAATGATGACTTACAATAATAGGTACTAAGCATAATATAATCTTTACTAGAGAGTGAACCCTTTAAAAATGAAGTTTCATGAGGGACTTGCCTCATATCCCACGATTCTTCAAGGACTCCATCCCTATTCGGATTTGCTTTCTTTTGTAATTCAACGGAAAGGAAACAATAAAGACCAAATAATAAATTTCATCGGTAAAGCTTCTTCAATTATTATCGGCAATGAGAAATCCAACAGGACCAAACGATCGTCTTCCAATACTGTTCAGAAATAGTAAATGATAAGTAATCCAAAGGATCTTCTTCCAGGTATTGTTTTGAGATTGTAAACAATAAAGATTCCAAAGGATCTTCCTCCAGTTATTGTTTTTGAACTATAACGGATTTTTACTCTTGCAGTTGGCTCCAACTCGAAGAGTGCAGGTTCATACCCGTCTCACCACAGTCCAGGACCAAAGGCGATTATTCTTGGAGAAAACGGTTCTATTTAATGATAAAAGGGAAATACAGAAAATTACCAAAAACAATATTACACCCTCGAGTTTCCAATGGGTTCCGTTTCTGGAAGAATAAGTGCTTCCAGTCCGTTACTGCTAGAGTACTTACTTACTTACTTACGCCTGTTACCCCCAATGGAGCATAGGCCACCCACCAGTTTTCTCCAACCAACTCTGTCCTAGGCTTCCCTCTCCAGTTCTCTCCAATGTTTGTTCATTCCTCTCATATCTTTCTCTATTTCTCAACGTAATGTGTTCCTTGGCCTTCCTCTTTCCCTTTGACCTTGAGGGTTCCATGTGAGAGCTTGTCTCGTGACGCAGTTAGGTGCTTTCCGCAATGTGTGTCCTATCCACTTCCACCGCTTCTTCCTGATTTCCTTCTCCACTGGAATCTGGTTTGTTCTCTCCCACAGTACGTTGTTGCTGATGGTGCCAACGAATACGAAGTATTTTGCGTAGACAGCTGTTAATAAACACTTGTATCTTCTGGATGATGGCTTTAGTAGTTCTCCATGTTTCCGCTCCATACAGTAGAACTATCTTGACATTTGTCTCGTTGTTAGCCCGTCGTGTACCCTAGTCTCGTGATTATTTCGATATCACGAGGCTGGCGATAAATATACTACTTCATCCAGAATTATAGTTTCTTTGACTTCTGGATCATTGGGATCAACATT